TTTGTCCAACATATATTGAGGAGATATATATACACACATACAGAGAGCATAAACAGGTGGGAGTTGTCTTACCAACTCTGAGAGGCCAATTAATTAAGAGAAAAAAAACTTTTGAAGTGATAATCAAGATAGCCCAGTAATATACTGATGCTTCAACAACTCTTTGAGACCATTTGAAACAAAAATTTGGATCCCAGTTTTGTGTTTTATCCTCAAAATAATCTTGACTTGGGCCAAACTCATCAGATCATCCTGAGGGATGGGGCAATGCGGCTAGTCGATATATTCTGTAGTAAGAAAGAAACATGGATTCAGTGACATTATTCATGCTAAACACATATTCCTGATTCAGGAGAAGGCATGTAGGAATCAATGCTGAAAGGTGCTGAGCATCTCCTGCCAGTTATTGAGTGCTTTTAACTCCCATTGACTTCAATGGAAGTTGAGGAAACTTAGTGTATTAGAGGAGATGCCAAGCTGTGCCTCACAGGATCATTTTGTTAGAATACAAGTGAGAGTACTGCTATAGTTCTCTTCACATCTCTATGTCTAACCATGGGCTGAGTGGAAATGAGAGGCAGACAGCATGAAGGGTAGCGGTAGGACTTTCCCTGTAAGGATGTATAATGGATGCTTTTCTTTTCTTTGACGTTTTCTTTCTCAAGGATCAAGGCTAATAGCTATGATATGGGGGGGGGAGAATGTTTTGATTCTAATTGATTAATGATGTCCTTTTAAGTAATGAGGAAGGGGTTTATTCCATAAAGTCACTAAAGAACAATTTAATTGTATCTTCAGGTCAGTTCTTATACCAAGATCTAAAGGCTGAAGATTCTGTGGTTACCACAAGTGAAGTTCGAATTGGAATGTGGGCCATAATAAAGAGACGGAAGGTTGTGGTCAGAGAATCATAGTAATGAGTGTAATACTGGCCCCATTGAATTTAGTGACAAAACTCCAGGTCATTTCAGTGGAGCCAGGCTTCATTCAACCTGTGATGCGAAGGGCCTGCACAAGGCCTATGCAGTAATTAATTTACAATTAAATCTTACTCTGGTGGCTTAAACAGGATTTTAAGTGGTGTATTATGCTGGCCCTCTGATTAGTCGTGAATTTCATCATATGTAACAGATTAATAAGAGAATGAGCATCTTGAGCATTCAGGTATTTAATTTCAAAGGCAGGATTATCAGATTATCTGTCTCTCTAATAAACCTTCATACATTGGTAACATTCTTAACCTGCAATCAAGAAGCATTGTGGGGGAGATAGCTCAGTGGTTTGAGCATTGGCCTCCTAAACCCAGGGTTGTGAGCTCAATCCTTGAGGGGGCCACTTAGGGAACTGGGGCAAAATCAGTACTTGGTGCTGCTAGTGAAGGCAGGGGGCTGGACTTGATGACTTTTCAAGGTCCCTTCCAGTTCTAGGAGATGGGATATCTCCATTAATTTATTTATTTAATTTATTAAAAATGTGATGTGATATTCTTTCCTATCTTGGAAAACAATGAAAATATAAATTTCCAATCTGAGAAGCAAAATCCCTACCGATCAATATAAGCAAAGCATCACCACACATGAAAATTGACTTTTGGAAAGCAATATTTGCTCCACATAGCTGAAAGATCACTTCAGGCAGATAACAGTAAAACCAAAGTTCCATTATACTATCGGAAAGCCATATCTCCGTAGGAATGGAAGTTTATTGACATTTGAAGAAATAATGTAGGTCCCAACATTTTTTCATCTTCAGTGGAGTTCACTGCATTAAGCTTAAATGTTATTTGCACATTTCTCTGGCACGCTGGTGAGTTTCTCTTTCTGACATTTAACAATATGGTTTGTTAAAAAGAGTTTTCTTAACCTTTCCAAAAAAACACCTAAAATCTTCTACCTTGCAGTCAGCCACGTTTTCAAGACTTGTATATTAGAAAAGCACCTCAAAGTTTGACCATTTGTAACAAATGGAAACAAAAGGGGAAGTTGATAGCGATGAATATAAAGCAGAGACTAAGAATTGTAGAAAATTGATAAGGGAAACAAAAGGACACAAGAAGAAATCAGTGGCCGCAGAGTTATGGGAAATAAGAAGGATTTTTTTCAAGTATATTAGGAACAAAAGTAACACTAACAATGGTATTGGCATATTACTAGATGGATATGGTAAAACTGTCAATAATAATGCAGAAAAAGCAGAAGAGTTCAATACAAATTTCTGTTTTGTTAGGAAAAAGCCAGATATAGTTATATTATGATGATGGAATACTTTCCATGCTAATGGTATCTAAGGATGATGATAAACAACAACTACTGTAGATAGACATTTTAAAATCAGCAGGTCCAGATAACTTGCATTCAAGAGTTTTAAAAGAACTGGTTGAGGAGCTCGCTCAATCATTAATGATGATTTTCTATAAGTCATGGAACACTGTGGAAATTCCAGAGGACTGGAAGAAAGCTAATGTTGTGTTAATATTTAAAAAGGGTAAACCTGGATAATTATAGGCCTGTCAGCTTGACATTGATCCCAACCAAAATAATGGAACAACTGATTAGGGACTTAATTAATAAAGAATTAAAGAAGAATAATATAAATGACACCACTCAATATTTTTTTTAAATAGATCCTGTCATACTAATTTGATATCTTTTTTTAATGAGATTGCAAGTTTGGTTGGCAAAGTTTATAGAGTTGATGGAATATACTTAGATTTTTGTAAGACATTTGATTTGGTGCCACATGATATTTTGTATCATTCCAGTTTTTAATCAAAATCAACATGGTTCACATTTAATGGATTAAAAACTGGCTAACTCTGATAGGTCTCAAAATGTAAATGTAAACAGGGCATTATCACTGAGTTAGTGTGTTTCTACTGTGGTCCCACAGGGATTACTCCTTGGCCCTACACTATTTAACATGTTTATCAATGACCTGGTAGAAAACATTACTGATAAAGTTTGCAGAGGACACAAAGATTGGGGGAGTGGTTAATAATGAAGAGGACAGGTCACTGATACTGAGCAACCTCAATCATTTGGTGAGCTGGGCGCAAACAAATAATATACCTTTTAATATGGCCAAATGTTAAGTTATACATCTAGGAACAAAGAATGCAGGCCTCTAAAAAGAACCTGGGGATCATGGTGGACAATCAGCTGAACATGAGCTCCCAGTGTGACATCGTGGCCAGAAGAGCTAATGCAATCCTTGGATGTATAAACAGGGGACTATTGAGTAGGAATAGAAAGGTTATATTAGGACACTGTATCTGGCCACTGGAATACTGTGTCAGTTCTGGTGTCCACAATTGAATAAGGATGTTGATAAATTGGAGAGGGCACAGAGAAGAGCCACAAGAATGATTAAGGATTGGAAAACATGCCTTACAGTGAAGTGCTGACTTGATCACAGTCTGTAAGTACCTACATGGGGAATAGAAATCTGATAATCAAGGGCTCTTCAATTAGCAGACAAAGGTATAACAAGATCTAATGGCTTGAGGTTAAAGCTAAACAAATTCAAAGTAGAAATAAGGTAAAATTATATAACAGTGAGGGTAATTACCCATTGCAACAACTTAGCAAAAGTTGTGGTAAATTCTCCATACCTGGAAATTTGTAAAGCAAGATTAGATGCTTTTCTAAAAGATATGCTCTATTTCAAACAGGAATTAATTCAGGGACATCCTATGACGTGTTGTACAGGACATCACACAAAATGATTGCAGTGGTCCATTCTGGTTTTATATAATCTATGGATTTATGCTTTCTTAATTGAAATGCAAGGAGCACAAAACAGTTCAAAGAAAAAAATGTTAGAATAAGTATTTAGAGTGATTCTTTTCACTTCCATTTTCTTTTAATACATGTTAGCTATAGTGTTAACATACAGCTTCACAGGAAAAAACCTCTTTCAGCAAAGAGGTTTTCTGAGTGCTTTCCTGATTGGCATCCTTGTTAAGCTGTCACCAGATATCACTGAGCACAATTGGTTATGGTGTCATCAAGCTACATATCCTCAGTGGATTATGAGTTTTAGTGAAAAGCCGATTTCCTTGCATGGTAACTGTGAACAACTTTTTTTTTCATTTTTCCAGTTATTCTGCAAGTTAATAAAGGGATTTTTCTTTCTTTTTCTTTCTTTCTTCTAAATAATAGAGGGCCTTTTAATCTAGTTGACAAAGGCATAAAAAGGTCCAATGACTAGAAGTTGACATTACACATGTTCAGACTAGAAATAAGGTGCAAACTTTTAATAACAAAATTAATTAACCATTGGAATAACTTACCTAGGAATGTGTGGATTCTCCATCACACGAAGTCCTTAGCATAGAATTCATTTAAAAAAAATCCTGGTCCCTTTTTGTCCTGTTTTATTATTCAGTCAGAGCCCTTTCAGTTGGCTGGTGACAGTGTTTGGAAATGAGACATAGGGTCAGTTTCACTGGTGCCATAATTAGGCACAACTCCATTGATTTCTTGTAATGTAAATTTGTCCTGTGTGGTATATCTTGATCTCAGGACCTAGGGATTCATGTGTATATTAATAATAATGGGAAAGCCCCATGCAGATAGATCACAACTATAGCCACATAATTGTATCTGCAAGACAAGTTCACTAAAGTGAATGTTTTCTTTTAACACACATTTTCTGAAGTATATTCAGGAATTTGCCTGAAAGGCCAGAAGGAGGGTTGGAGAGCTGAAAAGAATGGACAAAAAAGGAAGAGATCTATGATAAATGGACATCATTTTCAAATGCCTGATGAGGTTGTATCCCATTACAGTTGTTTTCTCAGTCAGCAGCAAAGAGAATGGAGTGTGAGGCTTGGCATAAGCTGTGCCTGTGAAGCCTTAAAAGAGAGAAAGCACAAAGTAGCTTCCAACTGAAAATCAGGGCAATGGAAGTGCTCCTTTCCCTGCCTTGGCAGAAGCCCCTCCATGAGGATCGGACTTTGGGGGTAGAAAGAGGGTAGGGCTGGAGGCACAGCAGTGGGATATAGGGTTGCCAACCCTCCAGGATTGGCCTGGAGTCTCCCAGAATCGGCATTGAAAGCAATCCAGGAGATTTTAATAGGATTTTTTAAGAAATTGACATTGCCATGTTGGGGAAAAAAAATCTTCCGGAATATCTTTAGTCAGAGTTGGCAACCCTAGTGGGATACGAGGACTCTCATTGGAATTGGCTGCCCAGCAATGACTGTAAAATGCCTCCCCAGAGAGAATTCCATGGGCAATGGTTCGCAACGGTGAACCCCAGACTACACAGCTCCGGAGGCAATCATACTGCCGCAGGGGGCAGCGCAGTGACTGGCAGGCAATGTAGAGGTAGAAGGCCTCTGCATGAACAACTCTGGCATTCACTGCTTTTGGTGGCTGAGTCCCTGCTACGACTATGAGTGAAAGGGGAAAACCCCTCTTACACTCTTAAGAAAGAATGGTTATAGTTTCTCTCCCTCTCCTCTCCCCCCTCCCTCTGTGTAAGGACATATCGTTTGCTTTGTGATGATTTTTCCTTAGTTTGTTAAAGCCTTTTCTTTTAACTTTCCCTTCTACTCCTTCCACTTTCAGTTAACCTTTTGGTTGTTCTGAGATTTTTGTCTTTTTGTAATAAAAGTGCCTCCCCTGTCTGTGCCCCCAGGCCCGGGATCAAATTGCTTTTCCTGTTACTACATCTGCAGAGGTAGAGGGAACAAGATGATCCTTTATTAGGAACATAGTAGGGTTAAAACAGAATGTAGCCTGTATGTTCTTTTAGCATGAGCATCCCAAATCACATGCCTTAAGTAAGGGCTTTACCCAGCTCTAGTTGTGTAATTTACGTATACATTAATGATATTTGTGGTGGCACGTGTTGGCAGGACACCGAAATATTGCAAAAGGACCATGAAAGATTAGGAATACAGACGGGAAATAAGAAAGTTAGATTTCTCTTGGCAAAAACATCAGTAATTATATGTGAAGTAAAATAATCCTAAACACAAAATGAAGCTAAAGTGATAACTGAGAGGGTACATAAAGTTAAATTACAAAAGAAAATGTAGACTAAATATCAGGAGAGGTTTCTGGAAAGTGAGTTTTAGTATTATATGTATCAGATTCATGCCTAGAAGCCCCAACATACAAAGTACTACACAGACACATAATAAGATGGTCCCTGCCTCAAATAGTTTTCAGCCTAAATAGACAAAACAGCCAGAGACTGGAGAGTAAACAAGGGCACAGAGAGCTGAGGTAGTCTAAGGTCACACATAAGGTTAGTGGCAGAGGTAGCAATAGAATGTAGGGGTAGATCCTCGGCTATGACAATGTATATCAGCTGAGGATCTGTCCATAGGTCTCCTGCTTCCCAGTGTAGTGCCCTATTCTTTCTAGACGAGCATGCTACCTCTCATGCTGGAACAATCTCTTTAGGGAAGTGGTGGAATCTATTTTAAACTACTAGAGGATGGAATAGATGATAAAATGGGCCTTTCCCAGCTCTAATTTCAATAATTTGATGAATTTCTCTATAGCCTCTTTCATTAAAATTGTATGAGAAAATGATTTGCAGGCAAATTAAGTTATTGACATAGATACTAAATAATAAAATCATATAAATTAAACACAAGCACACAGTTAGTTATAAGATTAATGTCTCTCATCTCCTCTGTTGATATCTCTAAAACATCCTTAAATGTACATAACAAGTATCAGCAAAAGAAGTAAACATTTTTAAGTACCATCACACAGCACTGATCATATTCTGCACATCAGATGATTCTATTGCACACCTTGGTGAAGTCTGATATTTCCCTTGAATATGTAATAGAAATCAACTAACCTGTGTTATAATATTTAGGGCCCAATTTTTATCCAGGCTTCAACTTGACTTCCATTTTTGCATGCTCAGTTCTGTGCATGATGTGTATATTTAGAAATACACACACACTTTATATATAATCTTTTGTGTTCCAAAAAGTAGACACAGTGGAAATTCACTTCTCAATTAGGGTATGATCTGATGTTCAAAGATAGCAAAAGATGCCCACTGACTTCAGTCAGTTTTGGATCAGATCCTTACCTCCGTGCAACCCTACTGGCATTAAGGGGGTTGCACAGGTGAAAAGGAGAGCAGAATTTGACCCAAAGGAGAAAGCTGTATAGGGGGAAAACCTGTCACTACTGACAAAACTGGGAAAAGGTTATGTTGCACTTGTGTCTTGAAAAAAACTAAACATTTGATTTATTTGTATCTAACTTTTGCCACATCAGATGGTTTTCATATCTGAGTTGCATCTGCAAACCCTCTTGCTTAACCCTCCTTCTCCCTCTGCTTCCCCCCCCCCAAAAAAAAATCTGTACAAGAAGACTGAGCCAAACAAAACTGATTGAACAAAAGTTTGTCTCAAAAGTTGAACAAAACTATTTGTGGTAAAGTAATTTAATTACAGTTCAATTAAATATCAGCATAATTCACAAGTAAACCATGGCACAGTATGCAAAGCTAATGTGCTTCACCAATTTTATAAAAAGCAATTAAGTTGTTCTACAGTCCTTTATGCTCATTCCAAGATAATCTATTTCATCTATCCAATCTATTGGAGTAAAGAACAAAATGTAGGGTGCATACCAACACATAGCAAATATAACCTATTGAACATAATCTCTTAAGCATGTGTGTGCTGCACATGATAAGTGGTATCATTTAATTCTCTCACCTCTCAGAGGAATGTTTCTTCCCTTCTTTATTTTCTTGTCTCTCTTAAACTATGAAAGACTAAATCAATAGGAAACTAAACATATAATATTCAAATGACATTTAGTGGTCTGACAAACTCAGAAAGGCAAGGAAATTCAGAGTTGAGGCAGAAGTTTAATCCTTTGGTTATAAGTAGAGCCTTTAAATTCCTCCTTTCCCACAGGGGATCTCCTGTCCTACAGGATAATAATGGCAGACTTTCGTCTTGAAAGATGACGGTGTAAGTGCCAAAGCGGTTCAGTTACTGTGTGTCATTCATGAGTGGCTAAAAAGTCCAGTTCATCTTGCAGACCTGAAGAAGAGCTCTGTGTGGCTCAAAAGCTTGTCTCTTTCAGCAACAGAAGTTGGTCCAATAAAAGATATTACCTCACCCGTGTTCTCTCTCAAATTCCTGAGTGACAGCCTTTGCCACAGATAATGCAGGCGTAAGGTGAAGGGCCAGAGGATGAAGCCAGCACACTACTAGCACTTGAGGCCTACTGCACTTTCCTCTTTGCTCTCTTCATTTCCTCTCTCTCAACCACCTTCCTTCAGCCTCTTTGTCTTCTGCAATGCAGCCCTCCAGTGTATCCTGTTGCTTGCTGCAGTGTCAATGTTAAAAGTTTTCATGTCCCTCTTGCAAATGTCCTTGAATGCAGGGTAAACGCTATTGAATAATATTGAATTCCTGTTTCTTTTAAAAAAGTTACTACCAATAGGTATTACTGAGTGTTGATACTATAATAATAATAATAATAATAATTTTATTTTGTTATGCTGGTGACTAAAGTGTGCTAGGCACTGTACAAACACAGCTGATGACACAGTCCCTATCCGGAAGAGCTTACAGTCTAAATAGGCAAGGCATACAACCACCGATAGACAAGCAACATACAAGGAAAATGGTGATGTTAGGGGCATGTCTTACTACATTTTTCCCTTTTCCCCTTGCTTGCTCTCCCCAATTTCACCTCCATTTCTTTACTCCCATTTTCTCCTTTGTCCAGCTGACAACCTGCTCTGCTGTTGCTGGACTAACATGCCTTCCTTCTGCTCTCTCCACCACAGAACATAGATTAGGGCTCAGTATGAGAAGCTAGAAGGAAAAAAGCAAACTACTCAGATGATGCTGATGCTAATGAAAGCATCTGTATGTGTCTGCGTGTGTGACTGAGAGGCAAAAGAAGCTTTGCTTGAGAGAAATGTGTTTAGTGACCAGGACACATCTCTGTTTTTCAGTGAGCTTTTATTAGGTTTTGGAGATGTACCGCAAACAATTTTGAGCAATTTAAAGCAGGTATCTTGTAGTGAAATTTAAGATAATTCTTCATATTACTCTGATTTATACCACTGGCCCATGATCAGACACGACAGAGGAAGGCTTTGGAAACTCTTTGGGCACGGCCATGTCTATCTCTGTGTTTGTGAAGTGCCTATATACTGTCACAGTGGGGCCTGGACAATATATACACTCAATCCTCAGGTTTTCTAGAGCGGAGGTTGGCACACCTGAAGTATAAGGAAGCAAAGATGGTGTAATGACACCTCTCTATCCACCATAATCCCAGGATCATCATAAGCCTGATTCAGCTCCCATGATAAATTAGTGCAGCCTAAGGGCTGTTCTAATTTACACCAATAGAAACATCTTCTTTATGATCCATTCTACTGTTCCAGGATCCTAAGAGGACATTGGCCTCTGGCCCACCACCCATCCTCATCATGCCATCTACACCGCAGAGCGAGTGAGACATGTACAGCATTTTTACACCACTCAAAGATTCATCCACCTGGGGGAATCCTCAGCTGCCACTTTAAAGCACATTTTGTGTCACTCCAGTGTCCCAGGTGGGAGGACTTCTGTTCTCAGTAAGTCGTCATTACATGATTGACAACAACTCAAGTTGTTGCAACCAAAATGTAGATCCTGAGATTGTGGAGGAATTGCAGTAAAACCAACTGGAAAGTAGTGAATGTAGATAGATAGATAAATAAATACTCTATCAGAAGGTCAGACTTGGTTTATCTCCTACATGAAGACCGTATACATCTTATTTCTTCAGAGGTTTCATTTTACTTTAAGTGAGTCATCATGATCATCTCTTGGGTCATCAGAGGCTTTGGTGTGTTTATCACCACAGCACTGTCCCACAGACCAGGAGTTACTCTGAGTTGACCCTCCAGAAATCTGCAGCTGACACCTTCCTCTGTCACCTTTAAACTTTTTATGTATACTAAGAATAAACCTTTTTAGGCACATTGCAATTTTAAACTCTATTAAAAGCAGCAAAATAAGATCAGTGCCCTAATTTTTTTTAATGTGTGTTCCATCAACGTGTGTCAAGTCTGTAATACATTTTCAAAGCTGTCAGAAGGAGTCATGCTGTCTCGCTTTATTGAAAGGCAGGGAGAAAGGGAGAGATTTATCTTGGCTCTGAAGGGGAAAGCAATAAACCAGACCTGTTTCATTCTTAACTTGTACCTAAAATTGAAGGTCTCTCCTTACTAAGAGAGCAGTACTTATTTTTAGTAATAGACAAATTATCTATAATTTTGTTCCTGCTCACGATACTTTTTTCAATTTTTGCATAAAATAGGAATTTAAACACAAAATCCTGACTTTGGACTTCCCATTATTATACTCTCGTTAATGGTTTCTGGAAAATAATGACTGTCTTTAGTATGTGTTGTGAGAAAAGGACATGCTGATCCTGTGGTGCAAACAGTAAAAACATGTAGTCTAGCAGCATTAGTCCCTTTCTTTAGAAACATAGGATCAGTTTATATGCTGCACTTCTTGAAGGCTCACTGCACACAGTGTCACAGAAGCAGAAAGGAGGGCCACGATTTTCCATAGCAGCTAGTGATTTTGGGTGCCCAACTTTAGATCTCTTTGAAGGGGCTGAGCACCCACTCTATAAAAATAAGGCTCCTTTAAGGTGTCTCAAGTTGGACACCCAAAATCACTAGTCATTATTTTTAAATGTTGGCTGAGGTCTCTAAGGTAACAGAGACCCGAACCATTTAGGGGTTCCATGATCAAAATCATGAAAATCATTGAATTGCACATGAAAACAAACTCAAAGCCAGTATAGATCAAAAAGCCTAAGCGTAATGTGCTCCCTGAGAGAAACACCACTAGGCAAAGCAAGAAGCCATGTTCTGCACTAGTTGAGGTTTTTAATTTGTCTTCAGGTGTTGCATTGTAGTAATCCAGTCTTGATGTGAAAAAGGTAGTAGTAACTGGTGAGGTTCCCATCTGAAAGGGAAAGATATGTCCTTCTTGCCCAGTGCAGATAGACTGTTCGCCACTTCTGTCATCTGAGTGTTCAGAACATCAGGAGATCCAAGAAGACCCTGAGAAACAAAATTTTCCCCCAGGAAACAAACCTGATCAGGCCTTAAAGATTCAGATCATTTGGATACACTTTAGGCATCCAAACATCTGAAAGTCGTAACCAAACTACACTTGATATCTTGTGTTCCCCACAAGCTTCATGAGGCAACAACTTTGAGGATTATTCCCTTCTGAGAGGCTGCAGAGAAATTAACCATCTGGAATAGCAGCCAAAAGTAGGAAATCGTGAAGGGAGACATGGAAGCAGGGTCCTGTGCAGACATAGAAGCAGAATTAGCCACAGGCATACAAAGTTGTAACCAATCTATACCTGATATCTTGTGTTCCCCACAAGCTTCATGAGGCAACAACTTTGAGGATTATTCCCTTCTGAGAAGCTGAAGAGAAATGAACCTTCTGGAATAGCAACCAAAAGTAGGAAATCGTGAAGGAAGACATGGAAGCAGGGCCCTGCAGGAGACATGGAAGCAGAATTAGCCACTGGCGTACAAATATCTCCTTTGAAGTGGTTAGTGACTGGGGAAAGATGTAGCAGCAAATGCTGCTTATTACCAAACTGGGACCCTCTGTAGACCAGACTTCAGTGAAATGGTAAACCTCTTAGGTCTTTCAGTGTGCAATGGTACAGTTAAGGGACAAACTTTCAGGGTGCAATTTAAGGATTTCCCCCCCCCCAGGTTCTTACCTATTTTTTGCATATGGCTGGTGGCAAAAATTTGCTGGAAAGAAGTTTGAGGCCAGTGTAAGTTGCATATGCCTATCTTGGAGCAGATTTTGACTCCATTGGGTATAGATTTGAAATAAATATAAATAAAAACACTATCAGTAGCATCCCAAAAGAGTGTAATAATTATCATAAACATTAAAAATACTTTCCACTAGTCAGGCAAAAGACTTAGATGTAACAACAATCAGCTCATTAAATTAGATGGATATTTGCAAACCATCATACTGTTCACTCCACTTATAGATTATATCCTTCCCCCTATTCCTTATGTTCTTTTGTCTATTTAGATTGTGAACTCTTTGGGGCAAGAATAATCTCTTAGGATATGTCTGTACTGGAGCTGGAAGGTATAAATTCCAGCTTGAATAGACATACTCATGCTAGCTCTGATTGAGCTACTGTGCTAAAAATAGTGTAGCTGCAAGGCGGAAGGACCAGCAGGAGGGTCTAGCCACCCAAAGTACATACCTAGTATCTTGGATGAGATCATATTTGAGGCAGCTGGCCCCTCCCACCACAGCTACACTTCTGTTTTTGGTGCTACAGCTCATCAGAGCTACCACAGGCATGTTTCCTTAAGCAGGAAATTATACCTTCCAGCTCTGTGGCCCTTTGGTGCAATTTTACTGCAAACTAATAATAATAATAAAATAATAATTAATAACAAAAACACCAAACACAGTGTATTTGTTAATATAAAATCCCTCTTTTTTAATTTACTTAGTAGCTCTAATTTTCTAAAAGTCAGCCACTTCTTTATTAAGTGAAAACTTGCATCTATACAGTTTGCATCTGCCACTTTTTGAACCTATAGCTTTGTCCCACACAATAATCTGAGCAGTAGCTCTGGGAAGGTATAAAGGATACCATTTCTCTGGGGTCAGAGGCCAGCAGTTGGCTGGCTGGCTGATGAGCCCTGCAACTGCACCTGGGAAAAAGACCCGCAACTTAATTGGCTGATCCTCATAAAAGAAGGCAGCAGGAAACAGAGGGGGGAGTTGGAATAGCTGCTAGAAAGCTGTGGGCCCAATGGGCTGTGGCTAGAGCAATCACAACAAGGAACTGCTCCAAGAAACAAATGGGCAGAAGGGAGACTGTGGGAAGTCCTGTTATTACTAAGGCTCTGAGGCAAGAGCCAGGAAATTTTGGGTTGATGTACTTAGAGGGGTGAAGGACAGATTTGGGGAAAGGATGACTTACCCTGTACAGACTCTGAGGGAAGAGTCTGTGAAGCTTTGATCTTGTTTTCTTAAAAAGGCTTGAAATAAAAGGGGGGAGGAATTAATGGATCCCTGGATTCTGTGAGAGGGCTCCAGGCAGAATTTCCCCAGTGAAGGAGCTGGCTCAGCAAGAGCAAACCTGGCTCCAGCAGGAAGAGGGTGCTGTAAAATAGATCTCAGTGCTTTACATGCCCCTTCAACTCCTTGGTTGTGGGTAGGGGTCAGGTCATTAGAAGTGCTTGTGCTTA